AGGGGGCCAGTTCACTGTCCCTCAGACCGTTGGAGGGCCGGACTATAGTTTAAAAAAAAACTATGAACTAATTCCTCGCACACTGCACATATCTTATTTTGAAGTAAAAAAAACCAAATGTTTTTGGCGGGCCGCATGTGGCCCGTGGGCCGTAGTTTGAGGACCCCTGATAGCCTATGGTAAAATTGGTTTTGCTATATGTCATTTTGCTTGAAGTCATAGAATCTATTAAAGATGTTAATTGAGGACTCAACTGTATACAGTTCAGTGGTTTTTAGTATATTCACAGAGTTTTGCCACTGTCACCACAGTCAATCTGAGAACATTTCATCATCTCAAAAGAAAACCACACTCCTTAGCAATCACCTCTTTGCCTCCTGCCCTGCAGCCCTAGCCCACACTAATCTAACTCCCATATCTATAGATTTGCCTGTTCTGGACAGTTCCTGTGAATGAAATCGTACACTATAATGTCTTTTGTGACTGCTTCTTTTAGTATGTTTTCAGAGTTTATTCATGTTTTAGTATGTATCAATCCTTCATTTGTTTATATTTCTGAATAATATTCCATTTTTGTACCACATTTTGTTTACCCATGCATCAGTTGATAGACATTTGGATTGTTTCTCATTCTTCAAGCAATTATCAATAATGAACATTTTTCACAGATTTTTATGTGGAGTTAGGTTTCCATTTCACTTGAGCGTAGCACTCTGTGTAACACTGACAGACTGTTTTCCAACGCAGCTGCACCATTTACATTTACAGCAACGTGTGAGGGTTCCACTCTTCATATTCTCCCAACACATATTTTCTGCAGGTTTCTTGTTTGCTATTTATAATAGCCATCCCGGTAGGTGTGGGGATGGCATATTAACTGTGGTCTCGATTTGCCTTTCCCTAATGACTAGTTATGTGGAGCATTTTCTCATGTGCTTATTGGTCATTAGTGTATCTTCTTTGGAGAAATGTCTGTTCAAATCATTTGTCCATTTTTAATTTTTTTATTGTTGAGTTGTAGGATTTTGTTACATATTCTAAATATTCTTTATCAGAAATATTACTTGCAAATATTTTCTCCCATTCTGTGGGTTGCCTTTACTTCTCTTGATAGTGTCCTTTGGTGCACAAAACTTTTTAATTTTGATGTAGTGCAACTTATTTTTTCTTTTGCTGCCTGTGCTTCTATTGTCATAACCAAGAAATCACTGCCAAATCAATGACGTGAATATTCCCCTCTATGTTTTCTTCTTAGAGTGTTATAGTTTTACCTCTGAAGTTTAGGTCTTTGATCCACGTGGAGTTACTTTTTGTATGTGGTGTAAGGTAAAGGTCCAGCTTCATTAATGTGGATATTCAGTTTTCCCAGCGCCACTGGTTGAAAAGACTACTTTCCATACTGTTAGCACCCTTGTCAAAACTAGTTTTTATTTTGAATATCTATTCCTGCTTTAAATATATTCATGGGAGTTGATTGACCCAAGGGAGCCTTGAAAATATTATTTTTGGTCTTTGTTTAAAGACCCAGAAACTGTGCTTCAGTCTAGATATTCAGACATATCAGCACTTATTTATAGTACTTGCTAGTTATATATACATACAGGATTCAAATATGCTAATGTTGTGTTAATACATATATAAGTTTTCCTCTATCTTTTATTTTTTTCTTGATATACACATTATTTTCTTCTTACAGTACACAAACAAAGGAAAATTGCAGTGGTTCAGCCTGAAAAACAGTAAGTAATCTAATAGTATGTTTGAACAGTTGATATTAGAAAGGTAGAATAGAAAAATAATTAAGAGTATGTCTCCTCACATGTTAATTTCTCAGATGGAAGCATAATCCTTTAATTCAGCTTTGATAATTTACATACTTCTCCTTACAGTTTATACATTTCCTAAAATGGCATTATATACAGAAGGGTAAAATCCACTCTCAAGATGTTCCCCAAATTGAGTTTTCTTTGGCTTTGAGAGCTGGGAGGCATTTGAATAAGGGAGAGAATAGAGTCTCCATGCTGGGATTTATTAAAGAAGATCAAAAATTGTAAAGTAGGACATGATTCGTGACAGTGAAACAGTGGATCCTGAGGACAGCCGAAGGGAGAGGCGTATGGAAGGAGTGTCTGTGTGTCCCGTCAGGAGGTTCTCCGCGGCACATCTTCCTACGCAGCTTTAGAGGAGCGGCTGGTTAGTGTTGCCTTAAAGATACAAGGGTTTCTGCGTGTACGCATGTGTTTTTAAATATTGGGTTTTCAGTTTTGTATTAGTTTGCTCAGGCCGCCCTAACAAAATGCCACAGACTGGGTGGCTTGGACCACACGTTTACTTCTCACAGTTCTGCAGTGGGGAGTCCGAGATCAGTTTGGTTCCTGGTCAGGGCTCTCTTCCTCGCTGGCAGACTTACCACGGTGTCTTCACATGGAAAGGATGGGCGGGAAGGAGAGCCTTCTCTCTTCCTCTCCTTACAAGGCCACCAATCCTGTTGGGTTAGAGCCCGACCCTTTTTACCTCCTAAAAGCTTTGTCTCCAAATACAGTTCCATTGAGGATTAGGTCTTTGACATGGATTTTAAAGGGACACGATTCTGGTTATAACAAATTCTTTGTAATTTATGTCTGATTTTGTGGCTGTGTGAGTAATAAAACTGACCTTAGAAGTAGGAGGCCACAGAATTCTAATCTAGGTAGTGATAGCAGTGACAAAAACCTGGCCTTGGATTTTTCCTTGACTTAGTTGTCAAGACTGATCCAAAGTTTTAGAAAGGATTCTAAGAAGATAAATTAGTCTTTTTCAGTGATCGCTGCAAATACAATAATTCTCTTTTTAAATAATACAATTTGTCTTTAATTTTTAAACTGATGGAAGAAGAAAACAGACTCTATATTAAAAATGTTTCTGTTCTTTAACAATTAAAAACAACAACTAGTCTACTTGCGTTTTTAGAATCCCAGAAGGAATTCTGTAACTGTTGCTAATGTGAATGGGAGTTTGTTTGAACGTGCAGTATCCTCTGTCTATAGACTGTTGGCTCCCTAGGCTGTGTACAATTGCCATTTTAAAAAAAGAAAGATCAAGGAAGCACCTTCTATCACAGATTTCGCTGTCTGCCACCTTTGCTTTCTTCTTAGATTTGAAGGAAACTAACCCTCACACTTTACTGACTTTACGGATTATCTTACTATTTTGTTGTGTTTTCTTGACTCAGAATGCCATCCTCGAGGACCGTCCATGAGGGCCTGAAGAGTCGGGAGCTGAACTCCACAGACTCGGGTAGGATTGAGTGCCTGCAGCCGTAGGGAAGGAGGACCTGTAGTTTCTTTAATGGACGGTATCTAAGAATAAACAATACATTTGATTTACACAATGTAGCTTCAGAGGGGTTTCTGAATTGTGATGTTTGTCTCAAGATGTCCTTATTAACAATGATCTTTGGGCTGACATCTTTGTTCATTTACAATGTCTACGGAATGAAGACATTAATACCTCCCACATGACCACAGTCAAGTTTGGGTTTTGTGATAGGTCAGGTCACCTTGGGAAAAGAGTCTTAAGACTGATCACTTACTGGGTGCCAAGGGCTCCGGAGGTCAATATTATTATCCCCGAGTTTAGATAAAGAAACAGGCTTCCCAGGCAGTGCCCTTTCATATATATATTTCACAATTAAAAAAATAAAGCACTGGAAAAACAGGTTGTCCCAGAGGCGATACCTGATCAATGAGACAAGGCTCTTTTTGGAGGCCAGCAATCTCTCCCCGGAACTGCTCTTCCTCCCCCTGTGCTGGTTGTGTGATGCTTAGCATCTTGGCTGTGTGTCTTCTAGCACAGGTTGGGCACCTGGATGGTAGTTAGTAAATGCCTAGAAAAGAAAAGAAACCAAAGCTTAGAGAGATCATTCAGTTTATGAGTCAGAAATGAAACTTACATCTTTCTCAAGTTCAAAACCTGCATTTTTTTGGTCTCTTCTACCCACTGCCTTTTCATTATATCATTTATACATGGAGGATCAGGGCTGTGTAACTCATTTTTGATGTATTACTATGCCTACGGAAACTACAGAATTAAGACATTAATATCTCCCACATGACCACAGTCAAGTTTGGGGTTTGTGATAGGTCAGGTCACCTTGGAAAAGGAGTCTGAGACTGATCCTTATATGAAGGAGTTTTATTGGGGAGTACTTCTGGGAACAACTCCTTGGAGGAGTAAAGGAAGCAGGACTGGGCAGAGGGAGAAGTTGAGCCACATTCAGAGTAACAGAATTCCAGTCCCATGGGAAGCCTTGGCACTGCCATAGCCACTCAGACTCGTCCCCGAGTGAGGCAGTTCCTGGAAATAGGCTGCTGTTCCCTCTCCGCCTCACAAAGGGTGGGGTCTTGGGCAGGGGGGCTCTCCTAGTGAGGGAGGCCTAGGCTGCGTGAGGGTAATCCCAGGATAGACTTACAGCCCAGAGCTATAAACTGTCAACATCCCCAGCGGCAGGGAGCGGAAGTGCCTTAATCCCGAAAGGGGGATCTGGGTGGTAGAGTTCAGATGCAGAAGTGGACACCGACATACTGACCCGTGTGCCAAGACTGGATTCTTAGGAGCATTATGTACTGCAGGGCGCTGTCGACAGTGGGCAGTGCACACACGGCTCCTTTCCTCACGTTGGCTAACAGCGTCCATCAGAAGAGCTTCTCGCTGTTTGATATAAAATGAAGGTGTTTTAGTGTCTTTGAATGTTTTACATTCAGTTGCTGGGTTGCCAACCACTATGAGGGGATTTTTAAGAAATACTGTATTGCAGTACAGTATTCGTATATAAAAATGGTTGAAGAGAGGGTCTCTAGGCCCAGTTATACCCCACAGTACTTAAAGAATTAGAGATGTGACCACAGTGTACTTTCGGCCCTCTGAGAAATCCCAGAAATGGGAGGACACTCACATCGTAAAGGCTGCGGTTATAGTAGTTGGGTGCTTTTAAGGGAATGAACTGAGGTTCTGGATAGTATTCACCATCATGCCCTGGAAGTATTCCAGAGTCCATTATTGAATAGGTGGTTGTCAGGAATCATCATGGGTTCTGGAAGAAATCTTCCACTTCCTTGGTTGATAGAAGTATAAGGCTCTAGAACAGTGTCACTAACCCAGGAGTTCACCTGCACGTAATTTCGGACGCTGTCTGATTCTAGCAGTGATAAGCTCTCTAATGCGGCTGTTGTATTTTCAGGGCACTCTCAGGTAACATGTTAAACATCAAGATATGTAATTTCTAATATTACATAATGGTGCAGATGCTTGTTTTTCCCGCAGTAACCCAACTTTGAAAATAGGTGTTGGAAAATGACTGTTCTGAATATTTGTTTTTTTTTTCTTTTCATTTCCCAGTTATGATTAATGGAAAATATTGCTGTCCAAAGATATACTTCAACCACCGTTGCTTCTCAGGGCCATATCTTAATAAAGGAAGAATCGCTGAGCTGCCTCAGTGTGTGGGACCTGGAAACTGTGTTCTGGTTCTCAGAGAGGTAAGGCTCTGGCCCTAGTGCAAAGGAACTTGGAAACTTCATGGCAGTTT